CTAGTTATAACTGTGAATAGGGTAGATTCTTGAAGCAAACGTACTTGTCTATCTGAAAATATTTCGATCAGATATGGAATCAAGCACGGCCTAACCTTCGCCCTGCCGCCGGGACTGGAGGTGTCTCCGTGGCGTCTGCCGCCAGAGTATCATGGCTCTTCCGACGGTCGCTACAACTTGGTCGTATCCCACACGCTGTTTGACGAGGAGAGAGCACAACAGGTGCCTTTTCTGACTGACTGGCAAATGTTTTACAAAATCACATACACCTACCATATTATTAAATTAATATTTTTCGCTCTGGAATACCTACATGACTTGGTCTTTTATTAATCATGCACTCAAAAGAAATATATTAATCTTGCAGGTGATGAAAGAATCAGCCAGATATATTGCAGCTATACGGGAACCGGCCTCTCGCTTCAAGTCCACGTGGTGTTTTGGAAGCTATGAAAAGGTTGAGAAGTATTTCCTTACCGAGTGTAAATGATTATACTTCTGTATATTATCCAACTGATCCTCGAATAATAAACTCATTGAGAATGTTTTTGTCTCACAGAAGTTTGGCATGAAACTTTCTGCCTTTGCAAAAGCGTCACAGTACACATCAACTCAGAAAAGGAAACTAAACACAATCGCTACTTTTTTCGGGGTCAAAGATCCCAGCGATCGCGCAACAGAAAGTGAGATGTATGGCAAGGCAAAATGGTTGGATCAGATCTTTGACTTCGACAAGTCCTTGGTCCTCCTCAAGCACCTTATGTGCTGGGACACTGAAGGTCTCGGAGGCAGAGAAAGACAGGCTTCGGGAACTGAACAGTCAGGATGTCATTCTGTACAAATTCTTCAGTGAAGTGTTTGAGGAGAAAGTGAAAGCCTTTGGGAAGGAAAGGATGCGGAGGGAAGTTGAGGACCTTCGCCAAGCAAATGTTCGACTTCTGGGGGACTGCGGAGCTGAACTGACCGGATCATCCAAAACTGAAAACTTGGCGAGTAACAAACAACTCGAGTATATGTAAGATGATTTCACTGGAGGAGGTTGATATTATAAACCATCTTAAAAGAAGACAGAAGATATGGATCTCCAGTAACTTAACTTATGATCTATTATCATGGACTTTTACTTAAGTGAAAGGACAAACAGTATCTGAAATATATGTCAAGGGAAAAATGGTAAAATAAAGAAAAATAAGACTTTACCTTAAGGCGTTTTCTGTACATGTCATAAAATTAATCTAGCATTAAAGTGTAATTCAGATCTCTAATGCACAAGTGCAATGGCAGCATCCAGAATTAACTTTTAATTCTTCCCCAGACCAGGCTTTATCTTTGAGCTAAAACTTTAATCCTGCACGTGCACAGAACAAGTTAATTCCACCAATCATGTATTGATATGTGATGGCGTCATCAACTCCATAGAAAAGATGGAGTTGAGTTGCCATTCACATTTATCATAAGCAATAACGAAACACATTCTTACATTTTCATGTCAAGGATATATGCGTAAACTGATCAATGTATGTTTTTATAAGTTGTGGGATATTCAAACTGCAGCTATACCTTTCAACATTGAAAAGAAAAACGGAGAGTTTATAGACACAGAAAAGGCCTGTAGATTCCAGGTTGGAAAAACATTCCAAACTTACGCAATATATCAATCAAGGATCCAAATAAAAGTAAAAAATTCTTAATTCTTTAAGCTACAGTGACTTCAAAACCGCTTGGATATTTGCCCCGCGATCACACACGAGAAAAGTCCCGCGAATATAAATTGATGTTACGAATATCTCTTTACTGTCTGACACCTTCACTTCATTTGCCTATAAAATTTATGGCCTATTTGAAACCATTTATATATTCTATTTGTACTGACACAGATATATATGTCTTCTAAAATAATAGCATATATGTTAAAAAATATTTTCTCTCTATAGCAAACGTTTTGTTATCAACGTTAGCATATGATATTAAATTTGTAGAGGGTGAATGCTAATTACCATTACACAGATACCAGTTCTTTCATTAAAACAGCAGATTTACTGATAATCGCATCAACTCGTGCGTCTGGCAGTGTGTCTTGTATCATCAGTGCAAGGGCTTTGTTTGGATTTGGATCAAATGTTAATCTTTTTTGACATACAGAAGACGCATATAGATTCACCTTAAACATTTCGTTAGTTTACTCATTTCTTTAAAAAAAATTACCTTTAATTATCTTTTATAGTTATACATATCGCCATGAATATGAATGTCTGGGAATGCTTAACGGGTAAGCCAGGGTATATGCTCAAACAATTACACTATTTATTTCATAGTATAAAACTCATTGCCTCTTTAATCTGTACCCTGACTTATTTAATTTCACAAGTAGTGCATGGACCTCTGTGTTCGAATGCCATTTTGAGGCAGCAACATCAAAAGAGTTAGATAACATACCAGTCTCATAATGAACTCATTTAGCAGCCAGCCAAGAGTAATTTAAATGTTTGTTCGATATGCAGTTATAAAAACTTTGCTCTAAACCTATTTGATGAGCGTGTTATTATTATTGTACAAGTGAATGAATTTCCTCATCTATTCATTTTGATGAATATGTGTTTATGTTTAGGATGACCGACATTTACATTTTATTATTAATAATCATAGATTATGGATGTTCTTGTTGGGTCTGTATAAACACAAATGTGTTTAAAGTTTCCCTTCTGCCTATATTCCTTTTAATTTTCAATTTAGTATATTAAACATTCTTAATTTTTGCTGGTTTTCCTTTATCCACCCATGTTCGGCTTTTAAGTCATCTTCCAAAGATAGTTTTCTCAAGGGTTTCATATAACGGTTCAATGGTGTTCATGGTGTTTTGATATGTCGACTTTTTTCTAATTATTGCTTTGCTGATATATGTCTGTGCAAGATCATGTGAATAAATGAAATGTATACACCGCTTTACTCTACTGTTTCGACTGAGTTTCTGGTTCAATTAATATATGTAGTATGCTAAAGAACTACACCTGCACCCGCTGCAGCACAGGTGGGAAGAGCGAAGCTAAAAACTAAAAAAGTGGCAACCAGCAACTGCCGCCAATCAGTCGAGCAACAGAGTTCTTGCCACAGCTGCTTTTGTGCCCTCGCGAAGAGATATTTACAACGCACATGAAGGTCGTTGCATTATTTCAAGGACACACTGCAATAAGCTGAAGAAGCGAGGAAGCTGCTGACGTGAGTCGTGTATTAGAAGCCGTGTGCATTATCCCATTTCAGTGTACTTGCATTCATTTCAACTTTTGATTTTCTTTGCCTGTCCCTTGGCCAGTCACGTCATTTCAGTCTTATTCTCTTTCTTTAAGTAGTTGTGCAAATTTGCAACTGATGATATGTCAGTTCAGTGATGCGAGAACTAGAAAGAACTATAATCTTATAAAGTTGCATTAAGGCAGTCTATAGTTATAATTTTATAACCATACTCGGCCATCAAGTATAACCTATAATTCCCAATCAATTACCTTTTTTATCTAAGGATCTTACTGGTCAACAAAGCTGTTAATTAAGTGTGTTCCTATTTTCTTCAGTTTTACTCGTTCTGTTTCCTTTGTAAGTTATATCGGTAGCAAATTGGCAGTGTTATTACTTAAACAAGGAAGGTCTAATATTTTTCCTTTCTTTATTTTAATATTCTTATTAAAAACAAAAAAAAAACAAAAAAACAGTCCCCATGTCTGAAGGGATGGATTTTCTACCAGTAGTATCCAGATTTTCTGTCTAATGCAATGGTTTCGGTATTGATTTCCCAATACTGTACTGTACATAGAATGAACAAATAGAGCTTAATATATATATATTTTTTTTTTTCCTCATGGTTTAAGCATTTGCTTCGTGTTCGTGCGTATGCGATGTGGTGTCGATTATGCAGATATTCTTATTAGTGTATAATATCACACCTGTGTCTTAAATATCAGTGTTGCGAAAATCGCCTTTAACAGTTTGCTCCGTTAATTCAAATTCAGCAAATAATAAATGACGAGTTAGTGTGTTCTGTGATTAATCAAACTGAGTTCCATTAATCTTATATATTTAAATACTTTTTTACATAAGGAAAATAAAATTTTTCATAACGAAAAAAGTGTGTTTATATATATATATATATATATATATATATATATATATATATATATATATATATATATATATATGTATATATATATATATATATGTGTGTGTGTATGTGTGTGTGTGTATATATATATATATATATATATATATATATATATATATATATATATATATATATATATATATATATATTGTATCGCTTTAAAAATAAACATTGCAAAAATATATATATATATTTTTTTTGCTGATTGACTAAGAAATCAAAACATTTCTGAAATTTTCCCTAAATTTTACGACTTAATAATATAAATAAACTTCCTTCGACAATAATTCTGTAATGCAATTCTGAAATTCTGTAATCAGTCGCGTGTTGGGATTTATGCTTTTCAGTGAATTGGATTTCGAAGCAATGCCTGTGTGGCGTCCTTATTGCATCGACGATATTGGCCTTTAAAACACTTGTAGAACCAAAAATGTCCAATTTCATTTTAGGCTTATCTCAGAATTGGCATTTTTGTATCCGTTGTGTATTGTGCTTTTATTAGCTTTTTTCAGGGTTGTTGCGTTCCTTTTTTAAATTCGATGAAAAATGTAGATGGCTTACTAAAACCTTCACTTATTTGGACATAAAAGAGATGAAAGGATCAAACAAAATATCACGCAGGCCTACATTTCTTGCTTATTAAAATCTTCATAGTAAACATGACCAAAATTACATCTCTTCTGTAAAAGGTTTAAAGAATGAGATAAATTGTATATGGCAGTTATTTGATCTATATATCTATTTTGGTATAAAAAAAAAAAAGAAAAAAAAAGTTTTACCATCACTATTTCAATATCACAATTATCATCATAAACATCGTCACTAATCAATTTCATTTCTATCTATCAACAGTGTGCCTTCAAATCTACCAAACATCGTGGCGTGAAAGAAGTTTACAATGAGGTAAAACAATACTGATTTATTGTCCATTTGATTTATTTGATTAATTGGACAGTGTAGCAGAATTGTTGACCCCTATATTTGTTTTATTATCTACGGTTACTAAAAATGTTTGTTATTAGATTTTTTGTTTGTTTGTTTTTGCAGGTCGCAGATTCAAAAAGCGGCAATACTCACAATAATGATTTGCCTGATATTGATTACCGTTCAATTATTCAAAAATGGACGAGAAAGACAAACAAGGTTAGTTATTCGTCATATCAGAGATATATGTAAACAGAGAGAGAGAGAGAGAGAGAGAGAGAGAGAGAGAGAGAGAGAGAGAGAGAGAGAGAGAGAGAGAGAGAGAGAGAGAGAGAGAGAGAGAGAGAGAGAGAGAGAGAATTAATTTAAAATTCATATGCACTATCGACTGATAAGAAGTTCATTAACGATCTCCTCCCAATGACTGGTTTACCAAAAGTAATTCAACTTTGATTACCATATTTTTTGTTTTTAAATGCATTAACGGTTAAAAGCAAATCAATGCTCGACATCAAAGGTCACATAGGCCTATAGAAAAGCATAGTTACGAAAAGGGTAAATGTAGAGATTACGGAATTAAGGATGAAATGTGTTACAAAAGTCAAAAAGTCGTAGATCATTTTAAAATGTATGGTATTGAAAAGTGTTAAAGAGGAGCGAGGGTAAAGCGAGTGGATAAATGGGGCAAGGCAGGGATAAGATGAAGGAGGGGGGGGGGGGGGGGTTAAGGGCAATTAGATCAGGTGGAAAATGTAGGTGTATGAGAACAGAAAATGCGACTGTTTCAGTGCAGATGAGTAATTATGAAACAGTCAGTGAGTGATGAGAGTGAAAAGGGAGTTGGAGAAGTAGAAGGGAAAACATTGGTGAGCGAGATAAGGGATCAGGGGGGGGGGGGATATCAGGAGGACTGTCAGGAAAGGGAAGGACAAACGGGAGTCACGGGTTTATCCAGGAAGAACTAGAGGGAAGGGGGGGCGTAGGTAGAGCAGGGGGGTGGGGGTGGGGGGGTGTTGAGAGGGAGTGGAAGGGGTAGAGGAGGAACAAGAGGAGGAGGATAGATGTCGGGATGGGAGAATGATGGGAGAATGAGAATGAATGAGGGACATGCATATTTTTTTCGTTTTTTTTTCTTCTTTTTTTTGTCATAATTAGAAACTCAAGTGAAAAGAGAGAATGAATAAGTAGAAAGGAGGTGATTCGCATAATTACATATTATGTACGGTTGGATACAAATTGTATAATGTAAATCGATTAAAGTATGTAAATATAAAAAAATATGTAAAATATGGACTATATAATCTAAGATCTTCGCCAGGAAAGCCATATAAAGTAAATACACAAACGTTGCTAATTCAAGAGTGATGCAGTCGATGCCACCCCCTGTGCCTTTGGGAAACCAAGAAGGACCAAGGAAGTGGTGTGTTCCTCAGAATTCAGTGTATTTCCTCAAGATCCCGAAATGCGCATCTACTACTAGTTTCCAGATTTTCGTTGCGTAAGTAATGGTTATCAAAGCAGCTTGTTGCACTACTAGATATAACAAATGGGAAAGGGGGAACTTCTTGAAGCAAGCATACGTGTCTAACTGAAAATATTTGGATCAGGTACGGAGTCAAGCACGGCCTGTCCTTCGCCCTACCGCCAGTATTGAGGTCTCCGAAGCCAGAATATGGTTCTCCCGACGGTCGCTACAACATGGTCGTAACCCACACGCTGTTCGATAACGATAGAGCACAACAGGTGCGTTCTGTGACTAACTGGTAACTGCCCCCCCCCCAAAAAAAAAAAAAAAAAAATCACATACACCGTCAGTCAGTTAACGTATTCTTGGTTGAATTAATTTTATTCGCTCTGGAATACCTACATGACTTGGTCTTTTATTAATCTTCAGGATATTTATCGCACTGACATGCCAATATTCACAATTTCAGCAGTCTTCCTCATTATCGAGTTGGGTGACATGCACTCAGAAGAAATATGTTGATCTTTCAGGTGATGAAAGAATCAGCCAAATATGTCGCAACTATACGGGAGCCAGCATCACGCTTCGAGTCCATGTGGTATTTTGGACGCTATGAAAAGGTTAGGAAGCAAATGATTATCAAGTGCAAATGATTATACTTCCGCATATTTTCCAACTGATCCTCGAATAATAAATTCACTGAAAATATTTCCCTTTCACAGAGGTTTGGCATGAATCTTTCTGCCTTTATAAAAGCGTCACAGTACACATCAAATCAGAAGAGGAAACTGAACACAATCGCTACTTTTTTCGGGGTCAAAGATCCCAGCGATCGCGCAACAAAGAGTGAGATGTATGGCAAGGCAAAATGGTTGAATCAGATCTTTGACTTGGTGATGATAGCTGAAAGGTTCGACGAGTCCCTGGTCCTCCTCAAGCACCTTATGTGCTGGGACACTGAAGACGTCGTTTATGTCAAAGCTAAGATTCGGAGTCCGTCTTATAGGCCTAAGGTCTCGGAGGAGGAGAAAGACAGGCTTCGGGAATTGAACAGTCAGGATGTCATTCTGTACAGGTTCTTCAGTGAAGTGTTTGAGGAGAAAGTGAAAGCCTTTGGAAAGGAAAGGATGCGGAGGGAAGTCGAGGACCTTCGCCAAGCAAATGCTCGACTTCTGGAGGACTGCGGAGCTGAGCTGACCGGATCATCCAACACTGTGAAAACTTGGCGAGTAAAAAGTAACTCGAGTATTTGTAAGATGGTGTCATTAAATGGGGCTAATATTATAAACCAACTTATAAGAAGACAGAAGATATGGGTCTCTAGCAACTTAACTTATGACCTATTATCATGGACTTTTACGTAAGTGAAAGGACAAACGGTATTTGAAATATACGTTATAGGAAAGATGGCAATCTAAATAAAAATGAAACTTTACTAAAGGCATATATCAATCTTAAACATTTTACTCGACTCATTTCTTTAAAAGAATTACCTTTACATAGTTATACATTGCACTGCTAATATGAATGTCTGGGAATGCTAAGCTAAGTCAGAGTATATGCTCAAATAGTTACACTATTTATTTCATAGTCTAAAACTCATTGCCTCTTTAATATGTACCCTGATTTATTTAATTTCACAAGTAATGCATGGACCTGTGTTTTCGAATGCAATTTTGAGGCAGCAACATAAAAGGAGTGAGATAACATACCAGTCTCATAACGAACTCATTTAGCACCCAGCCAAGAACAATTAAAATGCTTGTTTGATATATATACTAAGTTTGTTCTAAACCTATTTTATGAGCGTGTTATTGTTATTGTGCAGTTAGGTGAATGTTCTCACTTATGACAATCAGCTACCGTGAGAACGGAAACCGCGAATATTCTAATGTGGGAGAGCTTTACTTTAGTTGCTGTATAAATGGTAACGATTATAGTGCGTGTTGGAGAATTTGAAGGGGAAGGAGCTAGGAGGTGAGATAAGGAATGAAAGGGGGGAGGTGGTGTAGTATCAGGAGGATAGAGGGGATGGAGGGAGGGTTAATGTAGGTGGTGCTGGAACTAGGGGGGGTTGTGTTGGGAAATGTGAGTAGGAGGAGGATGGATATCGACAGCCACTTTGTGTGTGGAGGGAACAGGAGTTGTGGAATTTGATATGAGTAGAGGGTAAGAGAAAAAAACTCGTCGATGTGCTTCCTGTCTGGCTTTACGTAGAGTTAGTAAAAGTCTGAATCTGAGAGTTGCCACCTCAGACTCAATGTTGTAGGTGGGGCAGCCACTATAAAATACATTATGGGGGCCGCCACAGTTGGCACATGTGCATGGCTGTGTAGAGCAGTTTAATTGAATATAACCAGGTTGGGCACTTAGGGGATATCTGGCTGTGGAGCGGAGGGATTATCCACCGATGTAAACAATTAAGGGAAGGTCATGTCAACAGAAAGTAATTTTGACAATGTTAGTGGGGTTCTTGCGACGACCTCTGGGAGGAATGGAGTAGCATAGTATTGATGTCGCATCACAGTACGTGAGGCAGGCAAGTCTTCACTCTAACCAATTTTTGTTATAGATAGGGTAGTTTGCTGGGAAGAGAGAGACAGTTTCGGTGCAAGTATTGAGGGTTGGATGAGGTTCTGCAAGAATGAGGTTACCAGAGATCAATTAGAGTTGATAATGCTATAGCTTGGTTTTCAGATGTTACTGCGACGAGACGGGAACGATCGGGTCGGCTACGGAAAGAGACTTTGCCTACTTGTTTTTGGAGACATTGCTGGAAGAGAAGAGTGTTGGCAGCTAGGGGAGGATGGGGTAGTTGATGAAGAAGGTTGTGGGGGTAGAGGTGATGAAGTTAAGCATGTTGGGAGAGTAGGAGTCTCCAGGAGATCGAGTGTTGACTTGGGTGGATAATGTACAAGTAGGCATTGAGGAGGGCGTAGTAGTTACAGTGTTCGGAGCCGTGGTCAAGGGGGAGTTCCTCAGTATTGGGTCTCAGTCTTCGCCTCCTAAGCCCCCCCCCCCCCTACGAAAACAACGGGCAAGGGATGGGGGGGGGGGATAGGCTAAAGATACTCTTATTAACTCTGCATAAAAACAAATGTTTAAGGTTTCCAATGTATGTGAAAGGAAAGCAGTATTTTTTTTCTGTCGCGTCTACATCAGAGAACATTAGCGGCGTATTTAAAATATAGCGATAGGGTGAGGTTTGAGAGCAAACGCCCCGGTTAAAAAGTCTTTGGTTCAAAAGGCGATGTTTGAGGACTTCCAGAATGGTCAATGGTCAATGTGCCAGACAAAGATCACCCACCATTATGAAGAAGTATTATGGCGAAAAGAGTAAGAATTCGTTAACGATTAGGGTCAGTGGACAGGAGGGATGAAGAGAAGAAGAAAAAAAAAAGAACAGACCGTGCAAAATTAGTTGAGGCGAGGGCTGAGGTCCAAGGAAGGGGTGATCCCCAACATTGGGTCAAGTCGCTGCCTCCTAACCCCCTACCCCCTCCACGGCAACAACGAGCAAGGAACTGTGGTGGTGGGGGTGGGGTGGAGAAAGATCGTAAACTATAGCAAAAAGGAAGGCAAAATTAGTAACATTTTGTTACTTTTTTTTCAAATGATTTGCTTTCCATTTATTTTATGTGAATCTCCCTCATATGCACTTGATAATCTTAATTTGTCAATCTTCCTCATATGCACTTCAGTTATCACGCTATCCTACTTCAACCTATATCAGGACACTATGTTTATACGGTTTGAAATGCCAGTAATCACTCAGCAAAGTGGACTCAGATTCTCTACACACCACATGTACCATCTCTCGGTGATGTGATATACGTGAGAACACTAATGGAACTTACTCGAGCATGCAGGTAAGCCATTTGCAGCAGATAAGCAGCTATTTTTCACAAAAGTCATATTACACTGAAAACTCAGGAATAAAAGTTGCGTGTGTTTCTCCTGATTAAGTATCAATGCAATGGTATGTCTATCGAGCAAATAATTTTAGTTTGCCTACAGAACGAAATATACATTGTGTATCTGAATGGCTACATGAAATTCTTTTTCAATAATGTATACTCAATTCTGTTCCTGCGCCAATCATGCTCAATGTGGAATCCTTCTTCATGTGTTTTATCTCTACACATCATCACCTGTTTCATATTATGAATACTAGTGTGTGGAAAAAGTATAGTATTCACATATATCACAATATCTGCAAGAATTAGGAATGTAATTATAATGTGGAATTCATCTCTGTGGTTGTAAAATGCATGAGATTCTGAAAATTCAGACCTTTGAAAAAAAAAAAAAGCTCTCCCTACTTCCTATTTTTTCTCCTCCCTTTTATGACACATTACTGTAAAATTACCAAATTTTACAGATGCCATAAAATATTCAGTAGGGTTAATATTTAATATTTATCGACTGGTTGTTCACCATTTTATTAATTCGCTTTTTTTTATCATGGGCTTCATTGTATGAACTGGAAAGAAAAATTAAAAGAATCAAACATACACACTCTGAGATATGAGGACAGTATAAAAAACATAAATCTTGATTATTAAAATTTATATACATAATGTAAGAAATCCAGAAACTAACCTTAATGCACTGTCATATGAATTAGTTTCAAAACACAGTTGCTTCCGAAGCTACAGCTAAATACAACAGCCGTTTGCATGGCGTTTCTCAAACACTCCTTCCTGATCTATTACATAAATATCTTTAATATTATCATTACTATTACATATTTTTATTTCTTGCAAGATATATATATTTTTTTTTTTCACTTTTTGTATTTTGGCTTTTAAAACACTTGATAATCACAATTCTAGGTGTTTATACAAGTACAATTATGCAATAATACAGTGAAAACAGTGCTATCTAGATATACAGCTCATCTATTGAGGCAACCTTATCCTAATATGACTATGGGAATTTTCGGACAACTTGCGTGGCCGATGCGAAGGCAGGGAGTCTGGAAGCTTTGCAGTTTAGGAGTTCTGTGACCAAACATTATACAGAATGAAAATAAAATGATAATGAGAGGGAAACAGAAGATTTGCTGACACGTTTCTGTAGCTAAACTTCATGCACAACAAATGTTCTCACATGAAAATGCATGTAGCTTAGGACATCCATTTCAGGAAACATGCTTCAATCAGCTTCTAGACTCCTTGTCAGAGGATAAGTAAAAGACAATTGCCTGAGAGAAAAAAATAGCATTCAAGGCAGTTTATTGATAAAAAAAAAAAGAGAGACCTAAACGAAAGACTAAAATGAAAATTATATATTTCCCTTTTCGTTAACACTGTTCAATATAACAAACAGAACTTCTATATATTTATTTCTATTCAATAATCACAGTACTCACAAAAAGGCCAAATAGAAACAGAAAGAAAGAAAAGAAAGAAAAATATTACAATATACTAATAACCATAGTAACTTTAGGTTTGCAGCATTATCGAATGTCATGATCCTCAGTACACAATGCTGGTGCTGATTATAAAATGTAATGTAAATATATATATGTATATTCCATCCACGACTGGGACTTGTAACTAGACTGAGAAAGTGAAGCACTGTCCGGCATCTTCACCTTAAATCCTCTCTTTTCACCCACAACTATGACCACTGAACAAAATGACAAATATTTAAGCCATTTGATGAACAAAATCTTAAAACTGCATTGTCTTGTTTTACCTTATTGTCACTTTATTTTTTATTCTTTTTTTTTTGAGTTTTTTTTTATGGCAGCTTTGTAGTTTTCTTGAAAAGCAAAAGTTACCCCACTTACCCCCCCACCCAAAAAAAAAAGAAAAAGAAAGAAAAAAAAATTATGAACAGCTCTGAACGTGTGAATCAAGTACAGCATCTTGTGCCGGCCTAGGTTATATTCCATGTGTTAAGATCTCTTTTTTTTATCCATTTTCTCTCCCTACCCCACCCCTCCCTGACATCGTAATCTCAAATAACTTCTGTAAACCTTGATTACGAGTTACTTCACTGCTTCTTTATTCCCTAAGGGTATTCTAAGTATCACAACCATGAACTATCTTTTGTCATGGGGTCTACACATGCAATGTCATTATTGCGACTGGCTTTGCTCACTTGGTTTTCATTAAGAAAAAAAAAAAAAAAAAAAAAAAAAAAAAAAAAAAAAAAAATTCTCCCCCCCTCAGCTGGTAAGTACAGAAGAAATAAAGGACTTCTCATAAAAAAATTATAATAATAAATAAATAAAACATTAATAATAATATTAATAATAATAATGAAATGCATGCAGCCATAAAAAAAACAAAAACATTGTGCACAAGGTCAAAGAAAATGAAAAAAAAAAAAAAAAAAAAAAAAAGTAGCAAGATGGCCATTAATTAAGCCCCAAATAAATATACAAATACTTTTTTTTTAATGATAAAAAATCTAAATCCAGTCACCATCATCATCATCCCCCTTATCACACTATCATCCCAATGACAACAAATAAAAAAATAAAAAAATAAAAAAAAATTATTAGTAACTGTGAGGCAAAGAACAAATAAAACTTTTAATAAAGTGTCGATCACAACCTAAAACATATTTGTGCAAAATTAACAAAGCCAGAACTGAACATCAGAGAAAACTCAGTTTTGTCCAAAAACTGCTCTCCTGAAATATATATATTTATGATTATAATTATAACTATAATTATCATCACTATTATTTTTGTTATTGCTACTATTTATAACAATAATAACAATAACAATAATAATAGCAATAATAATAACGATAATAATCATAATAACGATAATAATCATAATAACAATAATAATAATAATAATAATAATAATAATAGTAATACCAATAATAATAATAATAGTGAATCAATTTTTTTTTTAATTTACATTTGCTACTACTGAGATTGCATGCCTTGCACCACTGAGAGAAATGATACCCCTTGAATTTGCCTTACATTATTTGCACAAGCAGAACACAATGAAATTTATTCACACTATATATTTTTTTGGTCGTCTTCACTGGATTTCATAAATTCGACAATGTGTATATAAAAAAAATATATAAATAAATAAAAACTGAAAAATAAATGAATAAAATATAATAATAATAATAATAATAAAAAATAAACAACAGTAAAAACTTAAAACAATACCAACGACACTTAACCGCCCTTAACATATACATAGTATTTCCCTCCTTTCTCCATGCTGACATACCTCTTTCCCAAGCACCAAATCTCGCTGAGACAGGCCAGACTTAAACACAGGAACTTTTTTCTTGGGGGGGATAAAAAAAAAAAAAAAAAAAAAAATCTGCATAAATATCCTACTACAAACAATACCCACTCATCATTTACATTCTAAAATATCAAATATAGAAATTTACAAATATATCTAATATTCTAACATTATCAATAATAATAATAATGACAATAATAATAAGGACAATAATAATAATAATAATGATAATAATGATAATAATAATAATAATAATAATAATAATATTAATTATAATGAAATAACAATAACAACAGCTGTTATATCAATATTAATGTCAATTACCAGTAATAGCAATTAGCAACTAAAATTATAAACAATTAAAATATTTCAATTATCAAATAATAATAATAATAATAATAATAATAATAATAATAACAAAACTCTATGTGCAAAAGAATCAATAACAGCTGTATCCATTAACCGGGCTAGATCACAGGTTACCATTGTATGCTTTTGGCCCTTATATGACACTTGCTTTACCTCTCCTTAGGGATTCTTAATCCTGGCAGTGCATTGCTCTTCTGTTCACTGTACTGGCCACAGGATCTATCTCTCTCTCTCTCTTTTTTTTTTGCTATGTTACATTAGATATGGCACTGCACCACACTAATAATAATCAATATCATAATAATAATGAAGATGATAATGATTAATAATAATAATAATAATAATAATAATAATAATAATAATAATAATAACAATAATAATAATAAAAATAATAATAATAATAATAATAATAATATAAAAAAAATAATAACAATAATAATAATAATAATAATAATAATATCAACAATCATAATGATAAAAATAGTTAGAGTCTTTCCATATAGTATACAGTAAAAGAGATTCCATGGCACTCTCCAACTGCCTATCTTTGGTGCCTCTGTTTGGGGATACAAAAAGTAGCTATGTAGACCTGAACACTTTTTCCTTTTTCTTTCTCTCTTTCTCTCTCAAGCTGAGTTACCACCATGATCTGACATTACCTTTAATAATTACTACAATGAAATTGTAACTAATAATCACCAAATTAAAATGTCTATATACATTTACAACATTGTTGAATATTATATACACATTGAGTGTATGTGCATGTGTGTGCATGCAAGTGTCTGTGATTGTGCATGTTTGTTTGCATGTGTCATGTATGCATATATATGAGAAAAGAACTGACATAGCACATACTATGCCTAGCATCTAGTTCAACCAAACACACACACACACAAAAAAATAAAAAAATAAAAAAAATAAAAATAAAAAAAATTCTAAACTCTGCATTAATAACTTTAAAACTCTATACTAAAGATGTCATAACAAGCACAATATTTTTTTTTTTTTGTATATCAGACAAATTATCTGTTATTAAAGCTAAATCTCTTTTGGAGGACTGTATAACAAGCACTCCTGACAGGTCAAAATGAGACAGGCTTGACAGGGGCTGTGGTTAGGATCAGCAGATTAATAAATGTTTTCACTGGCATCAAATCCTATAATCTGGGCATGTTAGAATAGCATTTTGTTTTTTCTTTTTTCTTTTGCTTTTTCTTTCTTTTGATTCCTTCAACAGTTCTAGCTTAACCCCAAGGAAGAACCATGGCTCACATTTTTGTTTCTGTAATATATCACTTTTTTTTTTTCTTTTCTTCTAATTACATCTTTACTCATAAATCTTTGCTACGACAATTTAAATAGCACTTTAGAATTCCGTTGAAGACAATTCATTCTACATTTTTCACACCTGTAACTAAATTCTATAATCTTAAGAAATTTAAAGATCCTGGCAAACATCTAAGTTGAAACAAGTTTATTAGTAGAGTAGCTCAAGATAAACTATATATATACACACACGCACACACAATGACTTATTTTCTATAGTGTCTTTTGAGGAGCTGGAGGCTCATCTTTCTTTCTGTATGTGTAACTAATAAATTTTCATATAAACATAAGCAAGATTGTGAGAAAAAATAATTGTAAGAAAGGCAATTTCTACTGTACTACTGTCATTCAAGCACTCGAAAATTATAGGAAACCTTTCCATAATCTCTTTTTTTTTTTTCTTTTTCTTGTATGGAAGAAAATAAATGTCATTTTCTCTTTTCTGTCTTAAGTCTCTCTCACAATTTTTCTTTTCTATATTTCTTCTCCCCCCCCCCCCACTCATGAAGAGGTTACAGGTGTTGCCACTCTGTCGGCACAACACCAGAATTGCTCTCTACTGTGTGAGCGATGATGTCTGGAATGGAGTGTGAAAGCCACATGGCATGCAACCGCGAATATTGTGTGGCATCCAGGTGTAGGGGATTGCCACGCTTCAGTCCCTGGTCTGTTTCACCATACTCGTCCAGGTATGGGGGGCTCACAAAGCAACCTGGGAAAGAGAATTTCTGGTTTAGCGGGAGACAATGACAGATGAAGCTATTTCTGAATTTTACATTAAAAATGTATCTTTGGGTCCCTGCTTCATTCTCTGAGACTTCCATATTCTGGTTATTTCTCAAGGATCCATTCCCCTGATTACCCTCCAATATTTTTACCATGAGATAGTTGTAAGTAGAGGAAGAATCTTTGTAGAACCTTTACAATTTCTTATTCCTCCTCCTAGATCCTTCCTGGACCATTAAAGTTTATCATCATGATAGACCTTATATAAT